CCTCCGTGTGGCATTCGCCAACGTGTGCAGCCTAATGAACATACGTGACGAACCGTTCCGCTTCGCTGTCTCGGAGCGGCCACACGTTTTAGGACTTGCAGAGACTTGGCTGAACTCCGACCTCATACCCGAAGAATTCGCGTTGTCAGGATACTCTTGTTTCCGATGCGACCGAAAATCAAAGGCTCACGGTGGTGTTCTGTTGTACATAAAACGTCACTATCTGGCAAACTCACCCGACACCTATCGCAGGATAATTTATGCGAGCAATTGTGGTGCACAATCCGCCTCCGACATGCAGAACTAATAGTTGGTCTTATCTACCGTAGCCCATTAAACCGTTGCCGCGATTGGTTACCACATATACATAAGCACCTGAGCCGCCCTCATTTCATATTGATGAGGGATCTAAATTTAACTAGGATATTCTGGCCAGACGTTCGGCTTCTTCCCTGTCATGGCGACGTTGAGGCTCAATTCGCTAAAATGACTATTGAAATCGGGGCAGTGCAACATGTCCTTCAACCGACGCGCGTAACTCCGCACTCGGTATCTTGTCTGGACCTAATGTTTACGAGTTGCGAACAGAAACTGAACGAAATCATTCCTCGAACCTCTATAGAACAGTGACCCGTGCTCCATTGTGGCATGCATAGAACTACCGTTGCCGTATTACAACCAACGGAATCCGACATTCAATTATTGAAAGACGGGCTTCAACGGGCTCGTCCAAGCGGCAAGTCAGACTGATTGGACACTACCACAGGGTGCATCGCTTGAGGTCTGTTGGTCGTTAATGCAGGGGAAGCTGAATTCACCGTATACTCGCTTCCTTCTCCTAAAGTATTCAAAATCCGACCTGTCAAACCGCATTGGTTTTGATACGGAATATAGACACTTAGCGCGACGGCGTCGCAAACTTTTCGATAACTACATCAGCTCTAGTTGTGACGAAGATTACACGGTGTACAAGAAACAGCGTAACTTATGTAACGCCGCAAAGATCAAGAAACGCCGGCAGTTCGAAGAGGAGCTAGCATCCTCGGCCACAACTGCACCCAAAAGAAAATTCGTCTACTTGAAACGTCAACTGAAACCTGGAGGCGACCTACCGGTCTTAGAGAGTTTAGACAGAAAGACGCTCATTTCAAGCGCGGAGCGCGCGTACGCCTTGGCTACGCACTTCTTCACTGTATTTTCCAGTAAACCGGCGGCGGTTTCATTACCGGCACAGGTTGCGCCAGTCTTGCTCAACAGCCTACAATGTGATGCAGTCGAAGTGTATCAGCCACTTGTCAACCTCGATGGTGCAAAGCCCCCCGTACCAGACGGACTTCACCCACTAATACTCAAGTCCCTATCGATTATCATCTCGCCAGCCGTGACAAAACTTTTCAATAAATCGCTCTCTGAAGGATCTGTCCCGAACGACTGAAAATGCTCGATAGTGAGACCGCTTCCCAAGGGTGGTGATCCGAGTAAACTGGAGAAGTATAGACCGATCTTTTTGACTTCGAGTGCTCGAGAAGGCTGTGAAAAAGTGTCTGCTATCGTTCTTCGAATCGATGGACTTACTGACGCCAGCGCAAAACGGCTTTACGAAGGGGCGATCCTGCTTCACCAACTTGATGTACGCAAAGCACCAGTGGGTACGAGCTCTCAACAGACGGAAAAACCTTGCCTTGGTGTACATTGACTTTAGTAAGGCGTTTGACAGAGTGAACCATGAGGTACTCCTTCGTAAACTGAGGACCTACGGAATTGGTGGCACCCTACTTCAGTGGTTACACGTGTTTATTGTGGGACGAAAGTTTAGAGTACATGTCAATGACTACCTGACAGACTGGTTTCCATCGAATAGTGGCGTGCCTCAAGGAACTGTACTTCGGCCAGTATTGTTTCTTATTCATATCAACGATCTTCCGCAGCAGCTCCAGTCACTATGTGCCCTGTTTGCAGATTATTTGAAAATCTGGAGAATTGTTGACAACCAGAACGACTGCGCTCGCCTCCAGCATGACTTAGATCGGTTGTCAACGTGGTCCGTTGAAATGCAACTCCATCTTAACGCAAACAAGTCGGAGTTCATCAGTATCACCAGACGTCCAGCCACTCGATCACACACCTTGGACGGCTAGTTGCTTCACCTTAACACATCTGTCAGAGACTTAGGAGTGCTCTCGGGACATGATAGATCATCAGAAAATACAGAACTTGTACCGTGCGGGACTTTGTATGCTCTGGGCATTACGACGCAGTTACTCCATGTGGTCCGAAGAAACCGTCCCTCATCTATTATCTCGCTCATTAGACCAACCCTTGAATACGATGCCCCAGCTTATCATGTGATAACTCAGTGGGAAACTGAAAAGCTGGAGAAAATACAGCGTATCGCAACTAGCACGATATCGAGTCTACGTAAGCTTCCGTATGAAAAACTTTGTGAAAGGCTCGGACTCAACACACTATTTTACCGCGGAATAAGAATTGATCTTATTCTGACCCATCGAGTATTACACTTGAATCACTTCCCCATACTGCGGCTAATATTTCACCTGCAGAAACCCTGTAATACCCGAGGACACCGTTACAAACTCAGAGTCCTTTGCATGAACAAGGTATCACATCAGCTTTGTATAGAACGGAAGATCGTAAACTTGTTCTCATCTTCAAAGGAGGCTCGTGTTCGGAATGCGGCAACCATAGAGGAATCAGTCTGATCTCCATCGCCTCCAAATTATTCGTCTCCATAATTTTTCACCGACTGCCTGTCGCTCGTGAAAGCCAGATTCGTGACGAGCAAGCCGGGTTTCGTCGGGGTCGTGACTGCATCGACCACGTCTTCACCTTGCGTCAGTTGTTGGAGCACCGTCACACATATTGGCGGCCCACGGTAATTGTGTTCCTCGACATCAAAGATGTCTCCCATTCGGTTGCTCGATGTGCCCTTTGGAAATGTCTACTCAGGAATGGTGTGTCCGAGAAATATGTAAATATTATCCAAGCATTATACGTGCGTAGCACGGGCAGAGTTAGGGCTTACGGCAAGCTGTCATCGCCCTTTTCTATCTCCAGCAGTGTGAGACAAGGATGCCCGCTGTCATCTTTCCTTTTCAACTTCGCTTTTGACGAAGTCAAGGAGATTGCATTTACGGGACATGACTTGGAAGGTTTGGATCTACTCCCAGGAGAACGACTACTTAACTTGGAGTATGCAGACGACATTGCCCCCATCTGTGACAGCTTCCAGACGTGCCAAGCCGCGCTGGACAGATTAGCACTGGTTGTCAGCCGCTTCGGACTTTGCGCCATCGAAATAGAAAGCGTTCCTCCAAGGTTTGCAGGGATCACCTCCTGCGCTGACCCTTGGTGGGGATCAGCCAGAAGTCGTTCGGAGATTCCACTACCTGGGAAGTTGTATCAACGCCCTCGGGATCGAAGACGAGATCACGAACCGTGTAGCAAAAGCTCGAAGTGCTTTTGCTAACCTTCGCCACTTATGGTGGCGCCGCGACATTACTCTCGCCCTGAAGGGTAGAGTGTACAATGCAGCGGTACGTTCGACCTTATTGTACGGTTTCGAAACCTGGCCCCTAAGATCGGCGGACATGAAGAGGCTAGCTACTTTCGACCATCTGTTCCTTCGCAGTTTGGCTCACATCTGGTGGGAACACCGCGTGAGTAACTAACGTGTTCGACGCCTTGTTTACGGTACAGGAAAAGGAACTGAACCGCTCAGCACCGTCATTTCACGCACCAGGCTCCGATGGCTGGGCCACGTTTTACGCATGCCAGCCCACCGGCTTCCACGACGGGCGTCGTTTACTCACCGAGGAAGTGGATGGAAGAAGAGGAGGGGTGGCCAAGCGATGACTTGGTCCAGGGGAATGAAGGCCCTCACTTCTGAGCTGGTCTCGGTTGGAGCGTCACGGTTCCCTGATTGGGGTCCAAAAGACGGTGAACACGTTTGGCTGGATACACTTGCTGACATGGCAAGGAGCCGACCTCAGTGGCGTTCCTGCTGTGAGTTTCTTTGTCCTTCCCCATACCTACGATCGCATTTCTTTGCGTAAAACATGATAATTTTTTTTGTTTTCGCCTAATAGCTGGCTGGTAGTTTACCGGAACGATGCGTATCCGTTGCTGGTAACTCAGCTGGTATGCAACTGTTATTTTCCCTTTCCTTTATGTATTGCGACGCAGTAGCTGAGGTATCTCCCACCTCTAGCCGACGTGTGTATAATGATGAAATACAGTCTCAGTCCTTTCTATCCGTGTTTAATATAATACCCTGTCGCGTCAATTGACTCATTGTAGTTTACACATCCATTGACTGTGTTAGTTTTTTCGCTATAAAGGACTGTGCGTCGGTAGTCCTACTTAAAGATCTCGCGTTTCGCCTACCTCCTGTGAGATTTTCTCGTCTTCATGATTCGAGTTCAGCAGATATCGTCAACTCTGGGCCGCACTTTGCACTTCACTATTGGTTTATTTGGGGTCCTGATTTTTGCATGCTTGTATTTTTTCCTGTTGCCGTTGTTTTTTGGTGTTTTGCATTGTCTAACATATGGTATTCACAACATTCGATTCGGCCCCAAACTTTACCCAGGCTATCAATATTCTACCTTGCAAGTATTGTCTTGTCGTAAACGTTTCCGCTTACAACAGCTTTTCCGTACCCAACCGTGTGCTGTAATCTTTTCTTGTGATTCATGCGTTTTTAGCATCTATTCTTCGAGGGGCATCATCTTTCTCGATACCCAATCGGTTGTCCTCTCAGTATGGCGCTAAGCTTTGCGATTTTTCAATTCACTATTTTCTGATTCAGCTTTGAGTTTCTGAACTGTTCCTTACACTCTTCCTGTGGTTCTCAAACGCTACTTTGCTTCTATCTTCACCAAAGCTTGATCGTTCGTTTTTCGCTCTTCAATTTTTTACTGATCGGGTCGTCGTTCTAATCGTCTACTCCCTAACCCCTGATCTCAACTTATTCTATCTAGATGCTGTCGGTCTCGTGAATAATTCCGTGCCACTCAAGTCCGCCATCGAGCCTACCACAGATGTATTACTATCACCTACTCAGACCAGCTGTCAAGACGATCAGGTGATTGATGATGTCAGTGACTGGGGTAACTTGGAGACGACGGACTGGGTATCCGACGCCGCACAAAATGCTCCTCCCATATCTTCTCATAATTTGGTCCAAGACGCGTTGATCTCTTCATCAGTCAAAGACGATTGGGATGTCGATCGTTTCTTTGATTTGCTTACAGTCGATGCACAACCCAAATCCACACAGTCCACCATGCATACGGATTCTATTGGTCTCTCCTCAGTAAAACAAACGTCGAAGCCGGCATCCAAACCTAAGATTGTTCGCACCAAGCCTCATTCCACAAAATCGACCGTTCCTCCAAAACCCACAGTAGAAGACTCTAACTGGGATGAGTGGTAATTTTTTTCGTTTGCGCTTCATTCAATCACGGACCAATCAGTGCCAATGTCTTCTCATACGTCCATCTCCTTCGCCTATTTCACAGCTTCACTGTGATATTCCTACCCTCCAGCTCATCGTTCTCATTGTAGTGCCTGTGCTTTTCATGCCTTCTGCTCCTAGTCCCTGGTCTCCCAGAATCTGGTAACATAGTGCCCTCGTATGGTCACTACATTCGCACCCGCGGACTTCCAGACTAATAAATTATTCCTCTTATGAACTCTTCTTCCTGTGGAACTGTCTTTCATCGCGGGACTCGGGGAACACTTTACCCTTCTTCAGCGCTAGGCGATATTTTCTAGTGCGCATTTCCATGAAATTCTTTTTATTTTTCCATCATTGCTGAAAACTGGAATTATTGAGCTGTTATCCGCGCGATTTTACTGTGCTGTAACATGTACTGCACTGTTTTTCTCCTCCAATACAATCAGTTGTATATCTTGCAACTTTGTCCGCACTCGTCATTACCTCGATTACTGGTTAGGGGGATGACGTAGGGTATATTCAACTAGGTTTACTCATCTCGGCAGATGTGCCGACATTTATTACTTACCGTGTTCCTGAACTCTGTCGCTGTTACCTGCTTTACATGACGCGAATCCGAAGAAATGCCCCTTGAATTGTCACCGACACTACTCGTTCCAGGGCTGTCTCGTGACATTTATACGCTCTTGATCCTCGACTTGATTCCATTATCTTTTACCATTGGCAACCTTCGTCCTCGGGATCCAGTCATTTTTACCCCTCTCCACCTATTTGTATCCCATATCTCTTACTTGTCATCGTGGTCATCACATCAACCCGAGTTGCCCCATGCAGTTGCGTTATCGTTCCTTCTGCCACCGATCTCATCTACACACAACCTCATAATGTCGCTATCGCTTGCTTCTGACCATACAAGCGGCTCGTGAGTAATCGAGCATAACTTGTTATTAATACCTTCTTTAGTATTCTCATCACACATCCGAACCTCATGTCTGGTCGTCATACGTGAGTCGACGGACTTCACTGCGCGTTAGTTGCTTAGCGTCGTTATCCGGTTTGCATTCCAGTAACTAGAGACTAACCTGATTTACCCGGATTCGGACTCAGTAAACTCCGCAGTATTTTTCCGAGTAGCTTGTTTAAATTAACCGCAGCGTAACAAAGCTACTCTTACTGTTACAAAATCAACCGATTCCCTACTGAAGTTAACCTTTTCCTCAGTTCCGATGACTGGTTCGACTTTGTAATCATGAACCTACAGCTGTTGCTTTGTTCACCTCGCCTGTGATGGAGCATAGTCACTTTTTGTGAGTTCTGCACTCTGATCGCCTGGATACTCACTTACTTAAATACTAGATGTGCTTGATGAACAGCCAAACAACGTATTCCGCATCGCGCTGGATAATGGCTGCAAAACCAACATATTTCAAGCATGCCATGTACTACAAGTCAATTTTTTCCTAATTTTTGTGTGAACTTGTTTGTTCAGGACTATCGTCCGCAGGCACTATGGCCACCCATATCTAGACCTTGCAACTATGCCGTGCTTTGTCCCATGATTTCTTCGAACGATAGTTTGATTAGTAGCGAGAACCGTTTGACTACAATCAGATTTTCAATGCTGACAGGCTTCGATATGGATCTACCCTGTGTGGGTATGCCAAATTTGGATAATTTCGGCTAACTCCTCAGAATAGTATCATAGGTGCTTGCAAATATGGCTCCCGTACTTTGAAAGCTGTTTTTCGACGGCTATTTAGGTTAGTCTGGAACTTTTTTCAACACAAATCCGTGACTTTTAGCAAGCGAAAACTGGATTTGCTTTTCTACGTATTTCCCTGTTGTTGTTGTTGTTGTCGGCGCTGGAGGTGGAGTGGTGGTCGTGGCGGCGACGCTGGTGGAGGTGGTGTACATTTAACTGGACATACCACTAACACGTTGGAGATTTCAACATAGCAGAGTGTCAGTACACCTGAATTAGTTAACGACACTGTTGATCGCCGAGCTGGGAGGATTTGACCATGCGATGCAGGGGGTGCGGGCTTCAGTTCGTCTGTGCAGGTCGAAAGTGGGAAGTTGTTTTGAAATCCTTGTGGCACTGGTTTCTCGGAACAGCAGACTGATCCCAACTATTATGTTTACTGCTTGTATGCAACAAAAATTTAGACACGTTTGCAACTTCATGACAACTTACAAGACGGTTCTTAATGGAACATAATTCAAGACGCTGGGTGTTCCGAGGAACGAGACCTATGTGCTTAAATCCATCTCTACCAGAATCATCAGTGACAGACTTCTGACCACCAAACTACATCAGCTGAGTGCTCTTCACCATACTGTGACCGAAATTTTCAGCATATTTCAAAGGGCCTTTTACCTTCCTTCGTTGAAAATATCTTTTCAGATCGCTGCCTCACGCGCAAAATCACCTCGCTGTCCGCCATTTGAAATTAGGTTATTTTGGTTAGTGCATCATAGTAGTGACTCTTAGCAATGATGCGACTCTGTCGCAATTTTCTACTGGCCCATTACTTTCGTCTTGGAATCGAATTTGGAACTTGAGAAATTGATGTCATGAAAATGGGACCAATTGCGATACTATGACCATTCACAACTCGTGTGGTTCATGTGTACCGCGTTCGGTTTGTTTTACTACCTAGCCCTGATGCGCATGAATGCAGCGTAATTCCCCATTTCCAGTACTGTGGCTATTTTAACAGACAATTTTGAACTTGCTTTTAATTAAGCTTCATACGTACCCTTGGATTTTTACTCATCACCAGTGACACCCGGGCATCGTTGACCCGTTGCGATATGAAACAAACCAGCAAACGTTACCTGAATAGATGGTTGTTCCCAGGGCATCGACGATTTTCTCGGGTCCGTGTTTGGTTTCTGTCACTACCACTATATATGTGGTCATGATTAGGCGTATGCGCTCCGCATTGCGTTTCACGTGACCATATAAAGAAACAAATAAGAGATTGGAATTGCTTGCCCTATAATAGATTATTTTTTCAGGAAATCTAAGTGTCCATCTTCGGTTATACTACGTGGCGAGTGAATAAGTAAATTATATGCTTCCAAAGATGCAACAGCTTATCATTGATCAATTGCATGGCGGTACTAAGGTAAACTGTTACAGCGGTGTCGTCTGTAGTTTCTGAGATGTTTGGTATTTGGGTAAGTAAATGCACTTCGTCGGCTGCATTTGAAAACTACAGCGTCTCGGAATTTCCTGTTAGAGAAATTCAATGATGAATGGGTGATCGCAACCTACTCGTACAGAAGGCATCAAGATCACGGGTTTTCCTATGATCAACTGCCTCGGACGCAGAAAGTGGGTGAAGGATAGTTTGAACACATTAACCTAAGCATAATTAACATAGTGCATCAGCAAACGGTAATTGTAAAATTTACGAACAAACGCCATAATACTACTAAATGCGGTTCATTTCATTCGCTGACGTCCTTACATCAAAGTGAGGCGAATAAAGTTATCCTCTATTGCAAAAGACCGAATAATGGGCAGGAATTATGCTAATTAAGAACAAGAAATAAAAGCGATTGCGAACGCGCCACTGACTCAGTGTTTGTGCCATCTGCTAATCCCGCGATTCACATCCAAGGGACGACGAGCATCAGCAGTGTGGTGATCCACATCGTAACCTTTAAGCGCTACTTCACTGTTTCCAACTCCGGTTATCATTATCTGAGCAGTCTGAAAATTGACCAGGCCAAACGTGAAGTGCAGTGTATGTATTTATACCTATATATATATATATATATATATATAGCCAAATCCGAAACAGGATGCCGACAACCATGTATGTATGTGTGCCACATGCTGAGGCTGATGTTGCATTCATGATGCTTCTTCATCGCAGTTGAGCTAAACCAACTTACACTGAAACTAGGTCTTTTTAATGTGGATAAAATTGATTACATTTTGTTTGGTTTATTCTGCGTACTTGATAATCTTCTCCCAACTGGCACACGTCGCTCATACAAATTGTGGTAAACTTGTGTAATTGTATCGCGTGGTATATTCTAAATAACTCGGACACTTTGTACTTATCACGGATTCACCTATAACTAATTTCTTCTATATGCTCATTCAGCGAGTATTTATGTCGTCATATGCGTTTACTTTATTCGATATCGGCATTTTGAGTGATTGGCTGTTGTTTGACATCTCAGGTGTGGCTGCGCTTGATGTGCATGTTGAAAAGGTACCTACCTGTCTATTACCCACTACTTCGTCCATCTGGCTCCAGGAGACAGTTGATTGTTGCTGGAGGGGACGGGGTGCACGGTCCTTGTGGTCGTGCTAGGCTCGAAGAGTGGTTCCATGCAATCAATGTGGAGCGGACTACGGTCCAGCCACCGCCTTGTGTGCGGTTGATTCCCCAAATACGGCTTGCTTGTGTTTGCCTGTGAAGGAGTGTGGGCTGGCTCCGTTGATGAAACGTGGCTCCCATCCGCATGCCTCCCGGTCTTATTCCTTCGGGTTTACACTGAATATGGGGTGTGTGGATGGAGCTGTGCGTGGTGCAGCGCAAGCCATCCATGGTCCCTTTGTAGGCGCAGGCGTTCTCTGGCTGGCCACAGTGACAGGCAAATCCGAAACCGGATGCCGTCAACCATATATATATATATATATATATATATATATATATATATATATATCGAATACTTTACTGCAATTAGCAAATTGCCACGACATATGGTTAAATACAATACAACGTGTGAGAGGGAGATAACGTTAAAAAAAACGGAAGTCACGGGAGTAGACTCTCACATCTTTGCCATTGTGCGCGGTTTTTTACCATGTCCGAGAAGATTTCCAGGCATATGCGCTCGTGATCTTTGCGCCCCCAGTCAGGAAGCCGAGAACGCCCGAACGCGGCCAAGTTGGAGATCAGCGTCTTCATATTTTTGACCCACGTCATTCGCTTTCACTCGACCTCTGCGCGCGCGAAGAGTGTACCGTTAGGTAAACGCTCAATGGGAATGCGAAGCAAGCGCAGAATACTGTACAGCGAAATTGCGGGTCAGCCGCCGGCAAAGTCCGTCTGATCTGGATATCCTTCGACGAGCATCCTCATTACAAATGTGATGTTGCCATCGTACACATGCAGTGCTCCGAAGGCAGTGATGATCATCACCATTACACATTAGCTAAAGGTGAGAAACACACTTCCTCTGTTACGCTGCAATACAAAAAGATAAGAAATGCGAAAAGCGTGGTAGCATGCAAAAAGCGGGCGACGCACTGCTTAACAACTTGTTATGCTACAGGAGTGAGATTGTGGTGATCAAAAAATGCCTTCGTATGAACAGACCAAGTCTCGCAACTATAGGGCAGCATCGCTCTTATCGGGACATTGTAGACCTGACCCTTCTAAGTGACTAAATTCGCGTCGACGCTAGAGATGACGGAGATTAGTACAAGCAAT